GGCAAAATCACTCCTGACGAAGTGATTTTCTTTTAATAAAATTGACGTGTTCATTTTTTTTTTATAAAACACAAAAATCTCTATTGTGGCAGTGATCTCATCCAAAAAAAAATTCTTTTTCCTTAAATCGCTGCTATGGCAGACCAAATGTTGGACCAAAATGCTGCCTGCCTCTATTAGCTTTTTTTAATGAAAAATTGCAGCGATTTCAATTTCAGTTTTTTTTGAAAAATGCTACACTCGCAGCGATATTAAAAAAAAATTTAAAATAAAATCGATTTTATTCTTTTGGTTAATAAAATTGATATGTTTTTTTGGAATTTTTAACAATTTTTTTTTACTCTTTTAACTCCGGACTCTCTTTTTTATCTTTCCCTTCCTTTTTAAATTAATTGCTAATTGCTATTTGAGCCTAGATCCTAAATCAACCTTTTAGGCCCAATAGTTTATTTGATGGCGTCAAAATTCATGTTGGGTTGAGGTTGATTCATAACAATATTATGTTTGATCAGAATTTTAGACCTTTGTATCATTAGTTCATGAATTAGTTATACACCCTACATGATGTTATAAGATTGAGTCAGTTCTCTAAATGGTCATTCAAATCAAGAAAATTGCCTTACAATATCATTTATGTTTCATTTAGGACCAAAAATATCATTCAACTATCACTATTTTCCTCCAGAAATACTTAATGTCATGTCATGCCAACTAGGAGTGAGTGAGACTTTTGAAGTGTCAAGTATATTTCTGCACTACTAATCTCTACATTAATGACATAACTACTAATTCCTGTACTACTAATCTCTACATTATTAAGCTCTATATTACTAATTTCTGCATTATTAATCTTTGTAGCAAACAACCCCGAATATGTTCTTGCTGATAACAATAGGAAACATGTATATAGTTAGGTTAAAAATATGCAACACAAATGCTTTTAGAATTAGACAATCTATAACACATGCTTTCAGATTCTTTAACTTTTGCCAAAAGCATGTTGTCATAGATCTATGTTCCAAGTAGTGGATCATAACCCCAACTAACCAAAACTTCTAATCAACAATATATCTAGCATGCAAGTGATCAACATATAAGTATTTTCCCTCACAAAATGTATATGTTAAGCCACAAGTCTACATTTAGGCCATTTTGATTGATTGTTGTGTTTTTTTTTATTGCTTTAGACCAAGAAAGCCAAGGCACTGAGAAAATGGAAGGCTCGAATTCTTTAGAGCATTCAGGCTTGATTTGAAGTAGGTAATAGTTGTATGTTTTTCGGTTTATAGATGTACATATGTCTATCACTTTATAGTATCATATATGTAATGCATGTTGTGCAAGACATAGAAAAACATATAAAACGACATCATGTTGATAGTCTCATGCAGTGAATCTGTTTACTTTACTTGTAGTTTCAAGTGTTATTGTTCATTGTGATTATGATTATGATTTTGCATGTGCATGTGCATGATTGTTTGTGATTCTAGTTGGCTCGGGTACCACGCTGATACATAAATTCTAATGGTTGGCTCGGATACCATGTATGATATGGCTACTAACTCTAGTTAACTCGGGTGCCATATATGCCGCTATACTAACAGTTTGTGTGTGGGTTACTTGTGAGGACGAGGTATGTGTATATATGGTTCCATGAGAGGTTTGGGTTCTTGTAATTATGATCACGTGGGACATGTTCTAGGTATCATGACTGTGAGTCTATGTGATTGTTGTTATATGTGCTGGTTTGTGTTTACTATGTTATGGTTTTTTCTTGTTGAGTACAATACATCTTTCACGGGCTTATATGAGATCACATTTAAAAAGAATGTTTAACTTTGAATTCAAGGATGAACTACTCTTTTAGACTGATATGGATTCCTCTATATCGTCTTGCTTGCCTATCTTTACAGACACAAACTTTAGATTTATTAGTTTCCTAGTTTTCGGGGTTTCATCCCCATTATTGACTAAATAGAATTTTGCTACTATGACTTCCAGTTTCTAAAGATTTTATTTTCGCAATATTTTGGACTAACTAACGATTGAGTTTATACAAACTCAATACTCTAGTTGTTGTTTTAAACTATTTATTTTAATGACTTGAGATATGGTGTGTTCGAAGATTGTTATCGTGGTTAATGTGGATGACACTCACAACGATAAGATCGTAATATATTTTAAATGATTGATTGATATTTTTTTACCTTTTTCCCTTGAAACTATGTTAAATTGGGAGGATCTTTAGCTGGTGGTGGACCAACCACCTGCATTGTCTTTTTTGACTTTGAGTAATGGTATTAGGTAGAGTAATTTCATCACTTAATTAAGTTGTCTCCCACTTAACTCTTAATATATATATATATATATATATATATATATATATATATGAGA